CAAACCATTAGAAGCTCCAAAACCGGTAGAAATATCTTCATCTCCACTACCTTCTGTTTTCGAGTATGTAAATACCAAGGAAAGAGAGAGAGAGCTAGAAGAACCGTCAAACAATGACGTTGAAGATCAGATAGAAGAAGATGTTGCTGAAGAAGACCAAATCGACCAAAACCTCGACGATGAAAATGGAATAGAAGAGAACTTAGACATGAGATATATTACAGATGAGTTAGAAAATGAGCATGGTATAGAAGAAGACCCAGAAGAACATATCGAAGTAAGAAGAACGCTGAGAGACAGATCACAGACAAGGAAGCCCATACGTTTTGATGATTATGTTATGGCAGTTGCTGCAGAGATTACTGATCCTAAAGAACCTCTAAGCTATAAAGAAGCTATAACTTGCAATGAACGAGATCAATGGAAATTGGCCATGGAACGAGAGATACAGTCACTTCGTGAAAATTGTACTTGGGAAATGAAGACGTTACCTCCAGGAAAGAAGGCAATACCATGCAAGTGGGTGTATAAGATAAAGAAAAATCCAGATGGTTCCATTGACAAATACAAAGCAAGATTGGTCATCAAAGGATATTCACAGCGCAAAGGTGAAGACTATGACCAAACTTATAGTCCAGTAGCCAAAGGAGGGACAATAAGATCATTGCTAAGTATAGCTGCCAGCAAAAATATGTCTCTCACCCAATTCGATGTGTGTACCGCGTTTCTCTATGGTAATCTGAGCGAAGAGGTCTACATGAAGCAACCGGAAGGGTATAACAATGAAAGCAAGGAAGTATGCAAACTTCAACGCAGTCTTTATGGACTTAAACAGGCACCAAGATGCTGGAACAAACGTTTCGGAGACTATATCGAAGGTCTTGGTTTCAAGAGGTCTGACGCCGACCCATGTTTGTTTGTGAAGAAAGAAGATGAAGACATGCTTATCCTTGCCTTGTATATAGATGACGGACTACTAGCTTCAACCAAAGATAATTTGAAAGACGATTTTCTCAGAAGTTTCCAAGAGGAGTTCAAGATCACCATCAAGGAAGCTTCCTATTTCCTAGGTCTAGAAATTGGAAGAGGAGAAGATGGAACAGTACATGTGAGTCAGTCTGCGTATGCAAGAAAAGTACTTGAACGTTTCAGCATGCAAGACTGTAAACCCGTATCAACTCCTGTGGTCAAAGAAAGTATTCAAGTAGGGAAGGAAAGTGGAGATGAATTGAACACCACTTTTCCATATAGAGAAGCAGTTGGAGCATTGATGTACTTGATGACAGGAACTAGACCAGACATAGCCTATGCAGTTAGTGTTGTCTCAAGAAAGCTCGAGAGTCCTTCCGATTTAGATGTTCAAAAAGTAAAAAGAATATTCCGCTATCTGAAAGGTACCACAGAATACGGCCTGACATACGAACCAGGCGTACAAGATGACCTGAAAACTTTCAGTGATGCTGACCATGGAGGGGATTGAAACTACAGGCCGCTCAACCTCAGGTGTATTGAGCATGTTCGCAGGTGGAGCAATATCTTGGCTTAGTCAACGGCAAACTTCAGTTGCAATATCAACAACGGAAGCCGAAATAGTTGCTGCCAGTGAAGCTGCAAGAGAGATGGTATGGTTGAAACGATTGTTTGAAGAAACTATAACCATGAAAGCAGTTCCAACCCTGGAAGTTGACAATGAGGCTGCTATCAAGTTGTCACATAACCCAGAGTTCCATCGCCGAACAAAACACATACATATCCGTCATTTTTTTGTTCGTGAGTTGGTGCTAGATGGTTCCATACAAGTGGAAAAGGTTGCCTCCGAACATCAACTTGCTGACCTTATGACAAAACCCTTGTTTAAACCGAGACTGGAGAAGTTACGGAGTGCTATGGGTTTGACCAAAATCTCGCAATGAGGGAAGGTGTTGAAGCTGAAAGCAGAATATTTCTATATTTTGGTCATACTGTAGATCGTCCATTATATGAGTTAGTCATTGTCAATAAAAATAATTTGTCACGAGAGTGTCAACGTTTCCTTAATAAAATACTACAAGTTTCCACGAATAAAACTTCAACACCAAGCACCGTTTTTTATAAGTCGCCGTCGGTCACATATGGCTGACAACGCCTGTAATAGAGAGAAAAACAGGGTCCCAGCAGCCAGAGTGTTAAATTCAATATTTTTCCGAGGCTGAAAACGAAAGAAATGAAGCCAATTCTGTTAATTTCGAATGAGGTGATTTTTTGCATATGGAGGTTTGAAAGCACGAGGAACAATAATATGAAGTTAGTTTCCTTGCAAAAAAATCTTGATATGATTTCATAAGATTCGACCCTTTTTTATTTCAATAAAAAAGCACGGCACTGTCCAACAGGATGATTGTCTCTGAAAAACTGATCATATTGATGACTTTTCATACCGGTCTCGATTTGGTAAATATCGCACGTCTAATAGCTGATATATGGAGAGGGGAGCGTTTGAAATGAGACACGCTGTAGATACTGGGTACAGATCAATTTCAGTAGACGGCGATTTCAGTGGTGTACGCGGATTTTTTCTACAAAAAAATCGATAATAAGGATTCTGGATTTTTCATCCCCTGAATGTGATCGTTTTTTTTTTTTTGAAAGATGAACGCCGCTTGGCACCAAAATACACCTTTTCCTCCTCTACATTTCAGAAAAAAAAATCGTGAAAATCGCTCCACAAATAAGAAAAAGATGAGGGTGGCTCGCTTTCAAATGGTTCACTATCTATAAAAAACAACGTGACAGCGACAAACTCTATATTTTGAATCTGTTAGTTGAAAATTATACCCACAACGCTTCGTAAAATTCGTTATTTGTTCAGATCATACTTGAAAACTTGAGGACAAATTTGAATACCCGGGTAAACGGATTAAATGGCTGCCGGTCATATGACTAATAAGATACATTCATTATATTAGGCCATACCGCATGGCGCAGACTAATCACCCTTTATAAATGACCAATTATTCACCAGAAGAATGCTCTGGAAATGTCTATAAGGACAGATTAGCAACTAATATTGATTTGATATCATTGAAGTTCTGAGATTAAAAAGTTATTCATGGTGTTGCGCCTCTCAGTACGTCCTTTTATAAATGTCTGAGACTGCTGACCAATGAACGTCACATGCAGTCTGAGTTTATTGCTGCTTGTATTCCAGGCACGTAGTCACGTCTTAACTGCGCCTACCGCTTCAACTCTCGTTCTCGATGTTCAGAAATCAATTTTCTACTAGCTTGAATGGACTTTCATTGGTTTTTGAAATGATCCAAAAAAAAAATTGCCCAAATGAATTAGTCTACCAAAATACACCAACTGTTTGCAACAATACAAAAGCCATTATAATTATAATCGTGGGCTCCGATAAAAAGAAAATGAAACTCTCTCATGCCGTAATATATTGAACTCATTTGTCACACATAACCTACAGTCCAGACCGCTATGTCAGATCCCAACAATCCGAAAATCTCATCCCATTCTCGCCCGAGAACGATTCTACACAAAGCGCAAAAGAATCCAAACTGTCTTTCATGACATCGACTTATGTCACTTGGTGTACGGAAACATCAGTAATCAATTTAAACAAAGGAGGATTCAACAATCAACCAAAACTTTTGAAATAGTTGATTTCAATTCTTGTGGTAACCTTTACTGGCTTCGCATATCTTGGTTTTTAGTCGTTACATCTTGTAGATAATTTATAGGATACTGACTCCAATGTATTTTCAACAAAAATACTCGTTTGATTTTTATCGCTTCAGTTTCACAATCAACTCGACGCAGGTAATTTTTTTTACAACAAATAAAATGTTTGTTTTTAAGCATTTTTTCTCACAAAATATGAAATGTGAACTACAGAACATCAGAACAACCATAAAAATGTCTTTTAGTGTTTTCTGCTCATTGCTATATATCGTTCATCTTGTCAGCATACATTTTGACAGGAAAATTATAATGTGATTACCAGGACAACAAAAAATAGTTATTTATTGTACAAGGAAAAAGCGTATTAGATTCCATCTCTAGGTAGTGTTGTCTCCGACGCGTAGCGGAGGGATACAAAAAAACCGAGAGCTAAAATCTAATATTTACCCGTGAATAATACACAATTTTTTTCTGTGGCAGGAAAAAAGACGGTTCAATTTTGAGAAGATATCGCATTATAATAAAATTTAATTATTTTTTTCATGTATCCCTATTATAAACATATATTTATTATTCTTGGGGTGATAAAAACAATCAATCAAATCAGAAAATTATCTATGTGAAATTTGAAGTTTTTAACTGGTAGTAAACCTGTGTTTGCAGGCATCTTTTTGTAGACATCTTTATTGTTGCTATGGAAACCTTTTGAAATAATCGAATATGTGTCAATTTGATTCTGTTTTGATTCAAAACAATTGCGAACTTAGTGGTTGTTTAGTAATATACATATCCGCGAAGTGGAAAGTGAAATAAAAGGACTTTCATTTCTTTCTCGAAGACGGTGTTATTGGCTTATTTTTCGGAGCTGGCACAACAAGAGCCATCAACAGTGCAACTATATTCCCGTGGAAAAAAAGTGGATTAATAAAAAGTTACATTTTGTAACCTGCCAACAGAGATAAAATGCCAAACTTTTTTCCCATCACAGATTTTTTTTAAAATTTTCGACATAACTATTCAATGCTGATAGCTACCCATGAAAATCCTACATAAAACAAAAGAGTTTGTCTGATAGTATATAAACAGGTACCCAGATGGCCTTTATCGAAGTTCAAAATACACTTTTGAATTTCAGGGCAGTCAGAAGTATATTACAGAAACACTGATCTACCTTATTATCCAATTCCTGAATGAATTTATAGAAAAGAGAATCTTTGTTTTAGGAGAAACTAGGACCACCATCCAGTACATAATTAGGTTTAGTAGTTCTGATGAATTCGCCTTCAGTTAGTTCTGAATTCAAACTCTAAGTGATAATTCATACTTACATGCACACTTCACTTCTCCATCACAGAATGCAGAAGCAGCTCTCGGACGATGCGTGACCAAAGCTAGTTCGCCGAAATATCCACCTTTGCTGATACGATTGATCTCGACCTCTTTTCCGCTATCGTCCAGGACACTTATCACTACCTCACCCTGTTCTACAAAGTACATGCCGTCAGCTGCATCTCCTTGTTTGATTATTCTTTCGCCATGAGGGAAACTTCTGCAACACAAACAAACATAATTCAATAATACACTTCTGAGCCGGTCTATTTTAGAATAAGAAATTATTGAGAGAGTTTGAATGTTCATATGTAGCATAGTTTGACTACAAAACAGTAATCAACAGTGCGTCTAATGGTGTGTTCATAGAAACTAGTATTTCCTCTCCAGTCCTTTCTAGAAAAAATATATCTTGAAATATATGGCTCTGGAGTACCTTGAAATAATATTTCAAGATTACTTTTCCATTATTTCATCGTATAAAAAATTATTGAAAACGCCAAATTAAACGAGCGAATTCAAACGATCAGACATGGCCGCGAAACATGGGACGTCAGTATCCGACAAATTTGGATTGGTAATTCCCTCACCTTCTGGCGCGTGCAAATAAAATGCACGATGGACTTGACATGTTGCCAATTTGGACAGAAAACTATGATTAGTCGGATATTCATTCCCCGATTTCTTTATTTTAGCAAATAATACAGATGCTGATAGATAACTCAACTAATAACTACTTACCTGAAAATTCTTGGTATTAAATATTTGCACTGCAAATTTATTTGGTTGATTTCTGTTAGAGGATAATTCAAAATTGTAAGTGAAATTTCATTTTGTATTGAATTACAGTGCAGGTATTCATGACATTCAGTTTCAAATCCCTTTCAATGATGTACTTTCAAGTTCAGGTACTCGCCAATTATATACCCACAATCCTATTTACCATAGGAAAAGAAACAAATTCTGAATGGATCAATACTAAATTGCTTATTTGTTTTTTTTCTATTGATTTTAGTGCAAGCATCACTACCCTTGTCAATATTGAGAAATAAGAACAGTGAAGTTATTTGGTGCAAGAGGTATTTTCAACTTGGCAACATTGTGTTAGCGCCAGTTCCTTCATCTCTTCATCTTGTAGAAATAGTTGCCAGATTATAAAATAGTTATTCTACCAACTAGTGTATAAATGAGGGCGATTAATAATCGAGATATTTCAACATGCGAGCAAAGCGAGCGCGTTAATGTTGGAGATGATAAATCGCCTTTTAATATTCCAGTTGGTTACAAAAATGTTTCGTCGACTAACTATATTTCTCATTTCCCCTGCAACGGAGAAAACTTGGTTTGCGAATTCATCATTCATCCAAAAACTACTAAGAATCACCTAGTAGCCTTGTCACTGACATTAGTGATATTTGATATTTGTCGAGATAATCAACATAGAAAATGAATTCTTTTTATTAGAGAACATGGATTATAATCGTTTCAGAAACTTGGAAAGGCTAAACCGTTAACAGAAAAATCATTGATGAAATCCATATTTAAATGCAAATCACGTAGGTTATAGCATGAACAGTGAACGAACGCGGTGTATGTGTGGTTGCCTATGCTACAATCGTGCATTAATAGACAAATTGATCATTAATAGGGATCATTAACGATCAATTTCATAAACATTGAACATACTCGTTAATACGAGGTCGACGGAAATAAAATATTGTTTAATGAACACGGAATGATAGTCATTTTCCACGAGAATGAAGTTTGCAGCTAGAGCCTTTGGCAGAGCTGTAATTGCTTGAAATTTGACATTTCATGGGAGATGAGAGTTTTTGAAGTAATAACACAATGAAGTCATTGTGGCATCAGATACGGAAATAAAATTGATATTATACAAAGTACCTCATTGATTTATCAAACACAGGAAAACAAAAGCAATTTTGTGTTACAGCCACAGGATTTCCTACGAGAATGAAGTTTGCAGCATGAGCCATAGGTGAATGCTGCAATCATTCGAGTTATACACTATAATTTTTCTAGGGCTATAATAGATAATAGCGACATTTTCAATTTCTACGACTTTTAGCCACCTGATTTTCTGTCAAGTAATGCTCATCTATTAGACAGAGCTGTCATTGCTTGAAATTTGACATTCCATGGACGACAAGTTTTTTTAAATAATAACACAATGGAGTCATTGTTACATCAGATACGGAAATAAAATTGATGACAAATAAAGTATCTCATTGATGTATCGAACACAGTAAAACAAGAGCAATCTTGTGTTACAGCCGTAGAGAAAGTATACTTTTTAAACGCCCCGACACACTCACCTGGGCACCAGAGCATCGGCCAAGTTCATCCGTTCGTACGACTGCAGCGTCTTCAGCATCGGCACGCTCTCGATCAGCGCCTCGTACATCTTCCGCTTCTTGAACGCCGACTTGAGCACGATGCGCCTAAACGTCTGCCGGTCCATGGCCCACAGCGAGCCGTCAGTGGCGGCGCGCACGGTAGCGGCGCGCGGCATGTTGTAGAGCAGTGCCAGCTCGCCGAAGCTGCCGCTGTGCTCGTACGTGTGCACGTGCTTCGGCTCCTCGGAGGGGTCGGCCGACACCAGCACGTGGAAGATGCCGCTGGAAGACAAAAGAATGAAGGAATATCAGAGATTTGACGGGTGGAATGATTTCTTTTATTCTAAGTCTCAAAATGAGAGGTACTTCATCAGTGCTACTATTGTCGTTCTAAATTGAAACCTAGTTAGTAGGATAGAGGTGTGATATTGTCTGCTCATTGATTCAAAGTGGTCTGCCTGTCAATGGAACTAGTTTACTGAAAACAACGAGCTGTCGGTTGCAGCGCGCGGCATGTTGTAGAGCAGCGTCAGCTCGCCGAAGCTGCCGCTGTGCGCGAACGTGTGCACGTGCTTCAGCTGCTCGGAAGGGTCGGCCGACACCAGCACGTGGAAGATGCCGCTGGTAGACAAGAATGATGGAATATCAGATAATGGACGGGTGGAATGATTTACTTTATTTGAAGTCTCAAAATGAGAAGCACTTCATCAGTCCCACTATTGTCGTTCTAAATGGAGCCATCGGTGGCAGCGCGCGGCAAGTTGTAGAGCAGCGCTAGCTCGCCGAAGCTGCCGCTGTGCTGTGTATCCTAAGAGCATATTCTTTGTAATTGGATTCAAGAAACCTTGAGGAAATCTATGTGAGAGATACAGATAGGTATCAAAAGTATTTACATACGTAAGTACTTATGGAAATTCTTTCTTCGTCCTCAAAAAACAATAGATTATGGTTGTGTGGAGAGACGAAGGCCAGTAAAAAAGTAAGAAGAGATTTTTTATTGAACCATAGGATCCCGCGAGATTATTAGTTCTACACACAGGATACAGCCACAGAACTAGAACATGGAGAAGAGATGGGTGAAGACACACGGAGCGGTTTTCGCCGACTCGGCAGCCGAATGCATGAAGACACACGGGTCGTTGCTGATGCGACACGCAATGCGAAAACAATGTGATGTCAGTTCCTGTCCAAATTCGTAATAGTGTCTGAACGGTATGGAGTCTGATTTTGAGGAGGGATTCTCAACATTAGTGGGACTAATTTATTGTCGTTCGAAGGAAAAAAGAAACAGGCGTATGTGGGTACACGCAATTGTCAAGGAACGAACTGAGAAATGTTTGTTTTCATTTGAAGATGAGATCAAAATGAATGATGAAAAATTCTTCAATTTTGTACGAATTTCAAAAGATTCGTTTTATGAACTTGTGACTCTGATGAAGAATCAAATAACTAAGCAGGATACGGCAATGAGGAGAAGTATTTCCCCAGAAGCAAAACTAGTGATAACGCTGAGGTGAGAGAAACTCAATTTTTATTATTATAATGCATTAACGTTATAAACTTTGAAATTCATTGTCTCTAAAATCTTCGGGTGAGTTCTATATAGGACTGTACTGATTCTGAGGGAGATTCCAAAGGTGTTGATGTTGTTTCGCGTGAAAGTTGTGAAAAAGTCGCCAATTAATGAGAACCATCATGGATCGGTCAACTTGACAACAATATTTGTTCAATCGCACTTGACAAAACGGTCTGAGTAGCCGCTCAAAGCAATAAAAACGCTTTCGGCATATCATCCAGACGATCGTACGCGTGGCAGCAGCGCTGCTCAATGTTGCGTTTGTTTTATTCCATAAAGACACAACAGCTCGTGTGCCAACTCGGCTGCCGAGTCGGCGAAAACCGCTCTGTGTGTTTTCACCCTCAAAACTCACTTCTGGATGACGTAGAAGTTGTCCCCGTCGTCGCCCTGCTTGATCACCAGCTCCTCCTTCCGCACGCGCCGCTCGAACATCGCGTCGAGCACCTCCTGCGTCTGCTCCTCGTCCAGCGACCGGAACAGCAGGATGTTGCGGACGGCCTCGGCTAGCCGCTGCCGCTGCTCGTCCGACTTGGGCACGACGGCTCGCGGCCCGCTCTCGTCGTCGTCGTCGTCCTCCTCGGGATCGTAGGTCTCCGCGAAGACGGACTTGCGACGGCCGGCGAATCGGCCGATCGGCGGTTCTGCAAACGAAACGGAAACGGTGATTGTTACAGGCGTAAAGGTCTTGCAGACTCTATGATAATGAAGATCGCATAACTTATAGTACGAGATCCGACTGCAAGATTACTGTAGGTCTCCGCAAAGACGGACTCGTGGCGGCCTGCGAAGCAGCCGTTCGGCAATTCTGGAAACGAAAAGGGAACGGTGATTGTTACAGGCGTGCAGGTCGTGCAGACTTTATGATAATGAAGATCGCGTAACTTATAGTACGAGATCCGACTGCAAGATTACTGTAGGTCTCCGCAAAGCGGCCGATCGGCGGTTCTGCAAACGAGAGGGGAACGGTGATTGTTACAGGCGTAAAGGTCTTGCAGACTCTATGATAATGAAGATCGCATAACTTATAGTACGAGATCCGACTGCAAGATTACTGTAGGTCTCCGCAAAGACGGACTCGCGGCAGCCTGCGAAGCAGCCGTTCGGCAATTCTGGAAACGAAAGGGGAACGGTGATTGTTACAGGCGTGCAGGTCTTGCAGTTTTTATGATAATGAAGATCGCGTAACTTATAGTACAAGATCCGACTGCAAGATTACTGTAGGTATCCGCAAAGACGAACTTGCGGCGGATCGGCGGTTCTGAAACGAAAGGGGAACGGTGATTTTTTTCTGTGACGTGAAAAAAGTTTGGCATTTCATCTCTGTTGGCAGGTTATGAAATGTCACTTTTCATAAATTACATTTTTCCTGTGGGAAAAAAGTGAGTACTTCCTTCCCGGATATATATCACATATATATACACTGTTGATGGCTTTTGTTGTGCTATAGTTCCGAAAAATAAGTCGATAATACCGTCTCCGAGAAAGAACTGCAAGACCTTTTATCTTCCATTCGACTTCGTGGTTACATAAATTACTAAACGACCACTAAATTCGCAATTTTTTTGAAATCAAATCACAGAATTAGACTGACAGAAATGACATCAGATATTTGATTACTTCAAAAGAATGATGAAGATGCCTACAACGCAGGTGTCTCTCCTGTTAAATTCAATATTGATTCGTCCTTTCTACTGTCACAGAAAAAAATAGTGCTATACGGGAAAAATATTAGATTCATCTACTACTTTTTTCTCTTGTATAATAAATAACTATTTCTCAGGAGCGAAATAAACCGGCCAAAATAGCCGAATATAACTGCCGCTCGAAAAAATCAAAAGCCCAAATAATGGCGATCAATCGCCTAGGTTTATTACCTTATACACCCACCGGCAAAAAACATGCTATGCGACTATAATTTTTTGATTCTTTTCCGGTTTTGATGAAATTTTTACCAAATCGTAGATTTATGTTCCGGATTGTTAGTCTGTATTTTAGTTCCTAAGAAACTCTTGAGGCTTTATGACTACAAGAAAAATCAGTATAACAAAAACAAAACTCTTGGCAATGAATACAGACATAAAAACAGAGATATAGCAGTACACAAAATATCTGTTACTACTAGGCAGTTAACGAATTAGTTAAACGTTCGAAATGAACAAAATTTTCTTCAAATGTGTTAAAGGCATTTTCTAAAAGAATGTTTTTGATTTTTACTCTGAAAGTGCTTATACTCATGTCAGGAGACTGAAACTCATTAGGTAACACATTAAAAAATTTTAAAGATAAATATAAATAGGAGTTTTGCGATTTACTCAACCTATATTTGGGTAGTCTCAAATTTGTTTTGGTCCTGGTATCATGGTGGTGTATGTCCTCCTGCCTTGTAACTTTATTTTCACCTCTTAATTTTTTGGCATAACACAAACATTCATATATGAAGCAAGATCGCAGAGTCAAGATGTGGAGATTTTTGAAAAAAGGTTTACAATGGTCATCATATTTGGCCTGTGCCATAATTCTGACGACCTTTTTTGTAATTTGAATATTATATCTGAATGACATGATGAACCCCATACTATCAGTCCGTACGTATTTCATTATGCTGTGGAAAATGCCAAAATAAGTTACTCTTAAACAGTCTGTTGTTATTATTTTGCTAAGTTGTCTTATTACATATATACACGTTGATAGGCGCTTCGATAATTTTTGAATATGAGGTAAGAAATTTAAAGATGAGTCCAAATACACTCCAAGAAGCTTCACTGGTTCAAAATTTTCTATATTATCTTTTGTTGAGAAATCTAAAGTTCTGGTTTTATCATCATTCAAAGTGAGATAGTTGCTTCTAGACCAGTTTGTTATGAAACTTTCAGATTCGTTAGCGTTGGAGAGTAAATTGGAAGGCATAGTGTCACATAAGAGAAAATTGGCATCATCAGCATACATTACCGGAGACACATTCGTTAGGTTGAAAGGCATATCATTAATATAAATAATAAATAATACAGGACCAAGGACAGAACCTTGTGGTACTCCATAATTGACTTTCAAAGGTTTTGATATATCGCCGTTGAATTTAACACGTTGCTGGCCCTGAGGCAAAAGTAAGTGGTTCCTGCGCCGTGTTGTCACGTTTACCGCTTCAAATGTCCTCTAGTGTGAATTAATATAATTACTATTTACACAAATTCATTATAAGCAATAAGCCACAAACCATAAGGGAACATTTTGAGATAATTAATTTTTTATTATCACCAATACATAAAAATTTAGAATTGATGAATTATTGAATAACTAATATTTCTGAAGCTCCCAATCCCAATCATATTTCAACACATGGCTACAATGCTATGGTCTGCCTCCATGATACTTGCCTCTACCTACGAAATCGTGACGTCAGTTTTTACTCGCGGTACATTTCTATCCGTTTGAAAATTACCGTGGCATTATTGATGATTTTAGCACCTAAAAATCGACCGAAAAATTACAAAAAAATACGAAATTACAAAATTATGGTTCATGAAACTTTACCATAATTTTGTTATTGCTCCCATCTCGATATCATTATACTCTCCCCATCTCTAGTCTATTTGATGTTCCACGTCACCTCTGCCACTTCATGTCATAGTCATTCAATTCGTTTGAAATTTTTGACATTTAATTTTTCGTGTCTTTTTAAGAGTTTGGCATGAACTGATGATAATTTTGTCGATTTTTCTCTAAATACTAATTAACATGATATTTAAAGTTCCCTAACAAAGAGGTTCCGCAATAATTGCGGTCCCCATTCAACTTTTTCATAATTTTTCTTAAAACATTTTTCAATAATATAAATAATATGTAAACATAACTTTTTTCCTCCAGAACAGGTGAGTTTTTTAGACCTATCGTTGTTGAGGGGTTTGTCTGACATTGTTCTTCTTTTTTCTCTCACTTTAGTACTCCTATGTAACAATAACGCTGATGATGAAGCTTTAAAGCTTCGAAACATGTCCCTGTAAGATTGCTTACAATAAAGTTTAGCTTTGGTGGAGTCGACTGTAAGAATTTTGGCCTGTCCTATTGAAAAGGGAATATTTGTTGCGACTGTATAATATCAATGTACTGTATATGTGAAGGTACTTAGTTCAAAAACACCTCGTATTTATGTTATTTTCTCTACTAACAATTTCATAAAAAATGTTTTTAATAAATTTAAACTTCAACGTCAGCTGTCAATTTAATTTTTCTTCCGAAGGTGAATGTGTATTTTTCAAAATTAATTAGGGATACAAAATGATTACCTACTCATATTTACTGTTATTCAAGAAAAAATGTATAATTAAAACCTGAAACTGACGATAATACATATATTGTTATTAGTCAGTTTCGAATTTGAAGATGTCATTCAAAATTAATTGCATCAATAACTAAAAAACAGTTGCTCGTAGCGACGTAGCGACCTCATTTTCCACACAAATATGAGAAAAATCCAATTCCCCACTAAAAATGTGCTACAGGTATGTACAAAAAAAGTTATGACATTTCAAATAACTGAAATGACATGTAATGGGCACCACCCTTACGAAATATTTTGTCATTGCAAAAATACTCCCAGACCAAACTACCGTGTGTCCCACTTACCATGCTCACCATGATGGGTATCTTTTTAACGGTGAGAGATACGAGGTCGGTTAAATTACACCAAATGTGGAGTTTGTCAAGGCCAACTATAATGTGAAAAAATATTTTGATAAAATCTATTCGTTTTTGTTTTATTCGCAAAAAACAGATTTTGATCATTTTCATGTCTCCTCCGTAACTTCTTTATTTATGAAAATATTCAAATAGGAATTTCACATTCTCATGGCAGTTCATCAAAGTGATTTCGAAAAAAATATGAAATTTATACCAACTCTTCTAGAATTTGAGATATCAGCACCAACTTTAGTTTTTCAAATGTAGGTCATAGCTCATTATGACTTAGTTACAAATAACTTTTTTTTCTCTTTCAGATGATATGTTGCAGTAATAGTTTTGTGTTGCTAACAACGGAGTTATCGTCATTTATACAAAAACAAAAAATTATTTGGAAGCCGCCATCTCGAATTTATAAATTTTAACAAGAAAATCATGATCTCCGACCTCGAAAACCCCCTTATACCAATTTTGAATGGAATCGGTCCAAATCTTGTCCGCCATCTTGGAGCAGCCATTTTTTTAATTTCAACAAAAATTCCATAATGTATTGTCACCGAAATTATGAACACCTGCCAAATTTCAAGTTAATCGGAGTAATGGAATTTTTGTTGAAATAGAAAAAAATGGCTGCTCCAAGATGGCGGACAAGATTTGGTCCGATTCCATTCAAAATTGGTAAGTAGAGGTTTTTGAGGTCGGAGATCATGATTTTCCTGTTAATATTTATAAATTCAAGATGGCGGTTTCCAAATAATTTTTTGTTTTTGTATAAATGACGAGAACTCCGTTGTTATCAACACGAAACTATTACTGCAACATATCATCTGAAAGAGGAAAAAAAGTTATTTGTAACTAAGTCATAGTGAGCTATGACCTACATTTGAAAAACTAAAGTTGGTGCTGATATCTCAAATTCTAGAAAAGTTGGTATAAATTAAATAAATAATCAAAATCTGTTTTT